GTGACATTGGCTTTCTTCCAGTCCTCAGGCACCTCTCCTGATCTCCAGGACCTTTCCAAGATGATGGAGAGTGGCCTAGAGATAACATCCACCAGCTCCCTCAGCACTTGAGGGTGCATCCCGTCAGGGCCCATGGATTTATGGATGTCCAGTTTGGACAAAAGATCTCTAACCTGATCCTCCTTAACCAAGGGAGAGTCTTCCTTTCTCCAGCCTTCCTCTCTTGTCCCCAGGGTCTAGGATTCCTGAGGGCTGGCCTTAGCAGTGAAGACTGAAGCAAAGAAGGCATTCAATAACTGCCTTCTCTGTATCCTTCGTCACCAGGACATCTGCCCCATTCAGCAGTGGGCCCACGTTTTCCCTAGTCTTCCTTTTGCTACTGATGTATTGGAAGCAGTCCTTCTTGTTGTCCTTGACATCCCTTGCCAGATTGAATTCCAACTGGGCCTTAGCCTTCCTTGTCGCATCCCTGCACGCTCTGACAACGTCCCTGTATTCCTCCCGAGTGGCCTGTCCCCTTATCCACATTCTATGTACTTCCTTCTTCTGCTGGAGCTTTGCCAGGAGTTCCTTGCTCATCCATGCAGGTCTCCTGCCCGCTTTGCTCGACTTCTTCCTCAGAGGGATGCACCTGCTCTTGAGCCTGGAGGAAGTGACGCTTGAATATTAACCAGCTTTCTTGGACCCCTCTTCCTTCTAGGGCCCTACCTCATGAGATTCCCCTAAGTAGGTCCCTCAAGAGGCCAAAGTTAGCTCTCCGAAGTTCACTGATAAGAAATCAAAGCAGGTAATATGTCATGATACTAGTGGAAGAAACTGTCTGAAAACTTCATAACATTCAAACAGCTTATGTACAGAACTGCATGATTAAAATTATTTCATTTGAGAGTACTTGTTAGTACCAATTATTAATGAAGTCATTCAGTATTTCCTGTTTTAAGATCCTATTTTGAGTTGCTTGACAAAAGTTAGAAGATAACTCTTAAAAAGTCTGGCTTATAATTTAGAAAGGTTGCGGTCTCGATTGGAGCGTGGATGTAAACTTTAACGCAGCTTTATTAGGAATGTGACTTTTACCTCCCACTGCAAAACTCCACCCAAAATTTGTGTGCCACTGAAAAATTTATTTGCAGATGCTCAGTAGAGATCTGGCAAAGTCAAAAAATCTCTGAAGATTCATTCCCATGGCACATGAACAGAAAATTGGTTTTTAGTGCTTGAATGCTTTTGAGTGCTGAGGGTAGTGTAGGGGCTGAGCTGGGACTGTTAATGTAATTGCTTTTGCAATGAATGCTAGTCTGGTGAAAATAAGGTGACTGTTTTGTATTCTGTCAGACCCCTGTAGACCAATCTTTGAAGAGGAAAAGGCTATCTGGTTTGAAGACTGAGAGGAATAAGAGCAGTAGACTGACAAATTGCCTCTAGCAGGGGAAGGGGAGTGGTTTGGAGGTTGGTGACAAAACTGGGATTTAAGTGAGTTAAACAGATAAAGGTAGGTCTGGCTAGGAAGGTATTTTGGGCTGAGAGCTAAGAGCTCAAAGCTTGCTGCAGTTGCCTAACTTTGTTAGCTGAAAAGATGGAGGCTTGCGCAATGATTGTAGAGAGCTGATTCAGTGTTGGTATGGTGCCAGATAATCTCCTGAATTTCCTGTTTCTTTTAGAAGTAAAGAAAATCTAGGAGGTGATGTACAAAATTACATTAGTGTTATGAAGCTGCAGAGTAGAAAAGGCCATAACTAAAGCTACCTATGCTGCTTTAGTTTTTCTCCTCTGTATGGATGCAATTATTTCATCCTAGTTTTAAGTTCTACTGTTGCTGCTGATCTCTAGCCTCAGTCAGCGCACGGGCTGACCTGCTCACGAGAGATGCTGGTAGGCTTATGTAAAGAAAGTGGTCTGCTGTAGGCTCTTTAGGATCCTCCTTTCGTTTGCTTGAAACAGA